TACCTACCCTACCCTATACTACCTACCTACCCTACCCTATACTACCTACCTACCCTACCCTACCCTATACTACCTACCTACCTACCTACCTACCCCCTCAAAAAATAAGCAGTTGACATCTCTAGCTGACAGACCGAGGTTTCGCTCTTCTTTGCGACTTTTGCTGGCAAAGATTGACATCTCGGATCCTCATTTTGTCAGATGCATCAAGCCAAATGCTGAGAAGGCACACGAGAAAAACTAGTGCAGACATACAGCACATGCATGCTGGCATATGCTGGCCGTGCCAGTCGCAGGTTCCGAAGATGTTCAATTCTCAATTAGCTGGGGCCTTTGGCTGACACGGCAAATTAGCGCCGGTGCAAAGAGATGTTGCAAATCATGTCGCAGAGGTGCTGGAACAGCTTTTGTTCAGTGGCATCTTGGAAGCAGTGCTAACCCAAGATGCAAAGCAGTGGTCATCAGGCCCTTGGTACTCATCAGACTAGTGCAGAGGTTGACAAAAAACCGACACTTCAATCACAACTGCCCCAGGCAGGACAAACTTGCCTGTTTGGCCCAGGTTCAAATTCGCAAGAAGGGCTACGCATCCCGGTCGTCGTTTGATGATTTTCTCAAGAGGCCGCTCTTGGAAGGTCTTAAGACCATTGTTTGAATTTGAATGCGCCGGCCGCAAGACGCAGTTGAAGAGGTATGGCTGCGTTGCCTCAGCAGATGACTATCTTCTTAGTGCAGGTGTTTCTTGGACTGGATTGGACACATGAGTCAAAATGGGCTGCAAGAGTTTCACATGTCTTGAGGACTTGGTTCGCCACTTGAAGGACAAGCTCAATTTGGATGCCACTGGAATCCAAGTGGGCAAAACCAAGGTTTTCCTGAAGGCCCAGCTGGCATGTTCTGATTTTACTTGGAATGGAGGGAAGAATGGAGGGAATTGTAGGGGAAAGGTGTACAAACAGCCGGGCGCCCATGTTGGGCCCGCGTTCAAGTGGTTCTAAAGCCTATGGGCCTATGTTGGTTGGAACCATTTTTTGGGCACATGCTGAGCCATGTTTGCCATATGTTGGGTCCATGTTGTTGCTGCTGCTTGCTGTTGCTGCTGTCGTCGTCGTCATCGTTGTCATCGGTCGCCGTCGTCAAAAACTTTTGCAGACTAAGGGCAGGCTATCGGGCCTTTGCAAGGATTGTTTTGTTATGTTTTGTGGACTTGATCCAGACCCGCCGGCATAGTTCGCACCAGGAACTCTTTTGTAGAGGAAACGTTAAAGCATGGGAAGGCCACAAGACACCATAAATTGCGAGTGGCAGTCACCCCCCCATATCGGGGCAGGCCCTGGCTCCATTGCACTCTTTGCGTTCACTGCTTTCAAATGTTTTTCTTGAGAGTGGGTCGAGGTGACGGTAGGTGTCGCTCGCGGTGTGGGCGGGGTGTGGTGTCGGTAAGGGACCCGCCATGGTTCCATGGAGTCTTCCACGGAGAAGACGGGGGCCGGGGTTTGGGGCACCCCGGCAGCACCCGTCCGAGGGACGGGGGCTGACTGCCCTGGTTGCTTGCAGCAACCAAAAGTCGGGAGAGCCGTCGGAGAGAGAGGAGGCACGTGGAGCGCGATGCATGCTGCGAGGCGGCAGCTGTCAGCTGGCAACAAGAGCGTCGCTCATGCCAGCCAGCCACAGCCCTGGTGAGGAGAGGCAGACGTCATTCCACCCTCAAGGACATTGTCTGCAAGTTGATGCGCCATCGAGGCCGGCGGGGGTGGAGAGGTTGAGGGTCGAGGCGTCGACGCCGCAAGTTGGAGACGCAGGGTGGAAAAGGACTTAGACAGCATGCCACAGAGAGTAGTTAGCAAGAAACAGTCGACACCGGAAAGGGGACAAACAGTCGACACCGGAAAGGGGACAGATAGAGAGACTGGCGAGACGTGGGCTCAACAACAGGCGGGCCTGTGAACAGAGCAAGAGCATGTGCAAGCCAGAAACAGCCTCCAACCCAAAGACACCAGAAGCAACCAGTGCTGAACTCCCAGAGTGATAGGACGGCAAAGAGTAGAGCGCAAGAGAAGCTAGGAGACTGCTAGGGTTAGAGAGCAACAGCAACCAAGCACACCGGACCTTCTTTTGCTTTTTGTGTTCGGTTTCAGCAGGGGGGCGTGTGAGCAGGGCAGGAGCACGTGCAAGGCAGAGCAACAAAGCCCCTAACGCCAAGACACCAGAAGCAACCAGCGTCGAACTCTGAGAGTCAGAGGACGAAGCTAGGAGACCGCTAGCGTAGGAGAGCAAGAGCAACCAAGCACACTCGACTTTTTTTTTCTCCTGTTGGCCAGCTACCCACACCCCCGGTGATGACTCGCAGGTATCTGGCGACATTGAGACTTTTGTTCCAGCCTATTTCGTATCGCCAGAACAAAACCAGAGCTCGATCCTGTTTCGGGCTACCCCACTTCGACAGCAACCGGCTGAACCACCCGAGAGGAAAGAAAAAAGGAGCGACTGTGCTTTTCCTTGTGCTTTTTCATGTGAATGTGGAATGCAGCTGTCTTGTGATGTGCGCTTTCGTGTATTTCGCGCCAAGACGCAGTAAACCACAAACAGACAAACAATCACAAACCAAGCGTGCCAGAACAGAGGTTTGCACGGGGCCTGGGACATGGGGCATCCCTGCCGTCTTGTGTTCTTGTGTATGTGGAATGCAGCTGTCTTGCGGTGTGCGCTTTCGTATTTTTGTAGCATGTGCGACACATTTCGTAGTAAGACGCAGTAAACCACAGACAGACAAACAACGACAAACGACACATTTTGTAGTAAGACGCAGTAAACCACAGACAGACAAACATGACAAACAAAGCGTGCCAGCGCAGAGGTTTGCGCGGGGGCTGGGACACGGGGCATCCCAGCAGCATCCTCCAAACTGGAGGAGGCTGACTGCCCTGGCTTCTCTGAAAAGAGGCCGAAAGTCGGGAGAGCCGTTGCAACCGAAAACTCGTCCGCCATCTCGCTCCTCCCTCTGCTCGCGCGCTAGTGCCCCAGCGTCGACTACGTGTGAAAATCTTACACCCAGGTTGGGTCGCCTGTCTCTGTTGTCTCTTTCTCCGTCTCGGTCTCGGTCGGTCTCTGTCTCTGTCTCGCTCTCGCTCTTTCTCTGTCTCTGTCTTCTCTGTCTCTGTCTCTGTCTGTTGGCCTTGGTGGGACCTATATTGAGCAAAATGAAACTATGTGGCGCACATCTTCGCCCTAGGCCAAGTTGGCCCCGTGTAGTCTATGTTGGGCACATCTTGAGCCCATATGAATCCTATGTTGTGCCTATGTTAGACCGACGTTGGCGTAGGTTGGCGGCCCCATGTTGACCTATGTTGGCCCTACGTGGATCCATCTTGTTGGCTATGTTGAGCAGATGTTGGGGATATGTTGGCTACAAAGAGCACATCTGGGGCCCATATTGATCCTATGTTGGGCACGTTAGGCCTACGTTGGCCTATGTTGGCCTAGGTTGGGCCTATGTTGGCGTATGTTGGCCCCATCTTGGCCTATGTTGGCCCTATGTTGAGCCATCTTGGAGGCTATGTTGGGCATATGTTGGGGATATGTTGGCTATCTTGGGCCTATTTTGGGGATATGTTAGGCAATTTATGTTGACACAATCTTCCAATACAACTTTTTACGATTTTCCCTTCCCGCAAACCAAAAACACTGGAAAAACTCACGTTTTTTTGACCTCGCCAAGCTGAAATTCTCGGCTGCCGAGGGGCCCGAAACCCTGTAAAACACAGTGTTTTTTATACCTCACACACACGATACACTTTACAGGGGCATCAGTGAACAGGAAGTGACCTGGGGGTCCCCCCGTTTTGGGAACGAGGGTCGGCGGCAGCCGGCGCGCCCGTCTGTAACCTTCGGTTACCACCGAAGGCCCTCCGGGCATGCCACGGGCGTCCTGGCCGGCGCCCGGATTTAAAGGCTTACGCCTGACAGCCGGGCGCCGGCGCACAAGGGTCTGTGTAGGGCTGGGTCGGGTGCACGTGCAGCTATCGGGGGCGTACAGGGCCCTGGGTGGGGGCAAGGTGGGAAACTGCTCGGCGTTGGAGACGGGGGCCGGGGTCTGGGGCGCAAGTTAAGCTATCTGGTGCGCATCTTGGCCCTAGGTTGGGCCAAGTTGGGCCCATGTGCTCTATGTTGGGCACATCTTGGGCCCATGTTGAGCCTATGTTGGGCCTATGTTGGCCGACGTTAGGCCTATGTTGGCCTATGTTGGCCTAGGTTGGGCCTATGTTGGGCCTATGTTGGCCCCATGTTGGCCTATGTTGGCCCTATGTTGAGCCATCTTGGAGGCTATGTTGGGCATATGTTGGGGATATGTTGGCTATCTTAGGCCTATGTTGAGGATATGTTAGGCAATTGAAATCGTCTGGAAGGCCTCTACCCACAAAATGTCGATTATGCCTGTCCGCCCGGCGCGCATTACCGACACCGCCCTTGAAAAACACAGCGTTTTTGCATTTTTCCATCTTCGCCGCGTCGTACTTCGATATGCGCAATAAACCCTGTAAAACACAGTGTTTTTTCCCTCACACACACGATACACTGTAAATTACAGGGGCTTCCGTGAACCGGTGGTCCCCCCGTTTTGATGACGAGCCTGCTTGTCTGTGGGCGTGGTCCGGTGTTGGCGCAGTGGCAGTTAGAATCCCTCCAGTCCACCGCGGACGAGCGAGGAAAAGCAAACGTCCGTCCGTGGACGGAAGAGATGAGACGGAACATGGGCGTGGACGGGGCTGAGGATAGAACAGGGAGGGGCGCGAGGTGGGGCTAATGCCCGTCTGAGTCTGTGGGCTGCGCGTTCCAGAGGCTCCCTCGCCAGGCTCCCGCCTCA